TGGGGAATTCTGGGAGTTGAAGTCCACACAGCTTGCTAAGGCTGAGAAACACTGCTGTAATGTAATATGTTCCTAAACATTGTAATAGGAGCTGACTAATAATAAAACATATACTGTCGGTGCATCGTGCCTTTAGCTGTCTCCTTAAGCAGACCCCAGCTGCTGAGAACCACTACATCAGTGTTTTTCCTGCTGGCGGGTGAATGCTGGGAGTTGAAGTCCACACAGCTTAAAGTTGCTGAGAACTGAGAAACACTGCATTACAGCCATTAATAGTATCATTTTTTACCTTCACCTAGAAAAAATCCTGAGAACTGGTATCTAATCAGCTTACCAGGTACTCTCAGAAATTCTCCGTTTGGCTCTTCCCCCACTACTGCAATTACATTTTGCGGCTGCATTTAATAACACAGCAAAATGTGGACGCGCCTAATCCAAAAATACATCACTTAATTCCCCTGCAGATGCCCTTGGAATTAGAAAGTGACGTACCAAGAAATGCAATGACCTTTCAAAAATAATTGTTCTGTCTCGGCTTGTCTGCTTTGGGGCTGGGATTTAACGGCAAACCGCAAAAAGGGCTATTTTCAAACAAATGGTTGTAGTGCAAACACTGGCCGCCTGCAAGGGAAATGTATTTATTTCTCCTTGGGAACAATTGCACGAGTGTTGGCTGACCGAGAGTGGGAGGTGGTGTTGGTGGTAGGAATAAGAAGACGGGGACAATGCTGAGTCTGTCAAAGAGTGGGGAAGCTGGAATTAGCAGGATCAGGTTGTATGCTAACTCCATGTACTTGCTTAACGAACATCTATTCTCAAATGCCATATTCAGGTCAGATTTTTTTTCAGCATCTCTTACCATTTAGCTAAGGGCAATTCAGAAACTACAGGTAGTTCTCGCTTAACGACTGTTCGTTTAACAATGGTTTGAAGTTACAGTGGCTTCGGAAAAAATGCTTTACAACCTGTACTCACACTTACGGCCGTTGCAAACCATTGCACCATCCCCCACAGTCACGTGGTCATGATTTGTGACCTTTTTTATGACAGTTGTTAAACAGATCATGTGATCATTAAGTGGATTCTGGCAAAAAAAAATCCATTGGAGAAGCTGGATTTGCTTAACGACCGTGGTGATTTGCTTAATGACCATGGTGATTCCCTTAATGACCATTGTAAAAATGGTCATAAAATTGGGTCCTGTCATGTGGTGACTCACTTAACGACTGCCCCACTTAATGGCCAATTTTCAGGTCCCTATTGTGGTCATTGAGTGAGGACTATCTGTACAGCAGTAATTCTTAAACTGTTTGATTACCCCTTTTTCCAGGCTCAAGTAATGTAATTGTCCCCACAAGAAAAATAAAACTTAGACTCTGTTGTTTTACACAAGTGTCTTGACAGCAACACTCTCAAATGGGATCCTTGACTCACAAACAAGCAATTACAAATTGCTTCATTACCCTCAGGATATGCTCAAATTACCCCCTTGGGATAATTACCCCTAGTTTAAGAACTACTGAACTACAGGGTGGGCAATCTTTTTTGGACGAAGGTCTTAATGGATCATCTGAGGGACACCAGAATGCCTGTGTTCACATGCCTGATTGTGTTTCCCTCAGCCCGGTTTTCTGAGTCCACCCAGCACAGCGGCCACATGGCCTGGATTCACCCAGCTTGGCTAAAACGCAATTGACTTGTTAGTAGGTCAGCGTGTTTTGCGAGCCTACCCATAGTGGCTAACCAGATGCTACAGAGAAAGCCAAGAACCAGATGGTTGGATGTGCTGTTTTGCAAGAAAACCCTTTATTGGAAGATGGCTCTGTTGCGAGCTCAGCTGAAAACCCTAAGAAGAGAGAACAGAGTGGGGTCCGCAAACAGCCCACCCAGTGAACAGCTCCAGGAGAGCAGACGGAGCAAAACATAGCTGATTGGATGAGCGATACCGTGCTTCAATTTAAAATAACAGCAATTCTAAGTTTGCAAATATGCACGTGAAATGCAAATACTCGCTCAGTTTTGTGGTGATAGGTGGGTGGCCATCCTACCCCAAACACAAGCTACAGGCTTTCTGTGCTCCTTATAGAACTAGGATTCTGTGACATGCTACTTTTAAGCATGGGAGTTTCATACTACTGGCTTAATCCACGCCCATCTTCCTCTGAACCCAGTGCCTTCAAAAGCATTTAACAAGCCTGGGTCAGCAATATCTCCTGCCAATTTTGAATGGTATTTTGCAACACAATCAGCCCCAAAGAATTCACACAGAGCCTTTCTTCCAACCCCGCTCCCGCAGACAAGCACAAACACGGACACATTGCTACAGTACAAATCCCCTTTTCACATTCTGCTGCTTGAAGTTTATTTTTTTAATATCATTTGTACTGAAGGCATTTTTCACAGGATAAAAACCACGCAAACATTCGAAAAGAAACAAAGGCAGTAAGGAAAAAGAGTGAATAAGTAAGGAAGAAAATAGAAGAAGAGAGATGATAAAAAGGCAGCGTCTGATCTTTTTGATGGCGGTTATAAATCATTTATATTTTACCCTCTCTCTTTAAGGTTACATCGGCTTGAAGTTTCTAATGTTGATGCGTTTGCCTGTGTTTTCAGAATAACTGTGGTGGTATCCTATATTTTCCACAGCTTTCATGGGTTCTTCAATAACTCTTTCATTTTGCTATATACACCACCTTTCGTCTACGCGGGTGTAGAAAAGAAATGAGAAATTAAGTCCTAATACTGCAACAATACTCTTCTTAACAATAGTTCTCAGTGTTTCTCAACCTCGGGAACTTTAAGATGGGTGGACTTCACCTCCCGGAATTCCCCAGCCAGCATGCTGGCTGGGG